CAAAATTATTAGCCCCTTTAGGCTATTTTTTTTTCGATAGTCTACAAAACAAACCATCGTTATACAATAACTTGCCTATTTACCCTAACCTGCCAAGTTAACCTAATTATCCTAGTTAAGCCTTTAAATGTCACTTTAAGCTGTAAAGAAGTGTCTTGAAAAATATGCAGTAAAATATTATTTATTGTCATCATAGCAAAGATAAAATAAATCAGTTATTAGAAATGAGTTATTAAAACTATTATGTTTAGAAATGTGCTGAAAAAAATCTGCTCTCTGTTAAACAGAAAACGGGGAAAAAATAAACAGGGGGCAAATAATTGAATTATATATATATATATATATATATATATATATATATATATATATATATATATTCCCAATCAGGAATAAAACATTAATTAAATAACTGAATGTAAATGTAATGTAATGTGTATTTATATAGCGCATTTATTGTGTATGGCCATAGACCCAAAGCGCTTCACAATCATGACGGGGGTCTCTCCACACTACCACAATAAGAACAATAACCATCTGTCATTTTTGTGTCCTAATCTCCTGAAGTATTGGTGGTATTTTAGAAAAGTCAATGCAATTTAGGCAATAAATCGATCAAATCTGTATTTGCGTGTCTGCGTGCTTCCTCAGATTCCACAATGTCAATTCATTCAAAGTCAACAGTAGCTTTATACACTACCGGTCAAAAGTTTTGGGTCAGTTTTTTTTTTTTTTTCACTATTTTATTTTTTTAAAGGTATTTATTTAATATTAAAAATGTTTAAATTGTTAAATATTTATAACATTTTTAAATACTGCTTTCTTATTGTTTGTAGTTTAACATTAAATTATTACTAAATTATTATTATTACAGTCATTGTTGCTTTTGTTACTATTACCATTAATAATAATAATAATAATAATAAGAAGAAGAAGAAGAAGAAGAAGAAGAAGAAGAAGAAGAAGAAGAAAAAGAAAATAAGGTTGTCACGGTGGCGTAGTGGGTAGCACAATCACCTCACAGCAAGAATGTCCCTGGTTTAATTCTCAGCTGGGTCAGTTAGCATTTCTGTGTGGAGTTTGCATGTTTTCCCCGTGTTCGCATGGGTTTCCTCCGGGTGCTCCGCTTTCCCCCACAAGTCCAAAAACATGCGGTACAGGTGAATTGGGTGGGCTAAACTGCCCGTAGTGTATGAGTGTGAATGAGTGTGTATGGATGTTTCCTAGTGATGGATTGTGGCTGTAAGGGCATCCGCTGTGTAAAACATATGCTAGATAGGTTTGGTGTTTCATTCGACTGTGGCAACCTCAGATTAATAAAGAAAAATAAATAAATGAATTATACTAGAATAATTAATATTAGAGTGATTTCTAAAGGAACCTGTGACTGAAGACTGGAGTAATGAAGCTGAAAATTCATCAATAAAATCACTCTAATAAATTATAAAATTAATTTATAAACTACTTTTGAACACTTATTATATAGTGTAATAACATTTCACAATTTTACAGTTTGTACTGTATTTTTGATTAAATAAATTCAGCCATGTTAAGCAGGATAATATATTTTTAAAAACATTTAACAATCCTAATGACTCCAACTTTTGACCAGTAGTGTATGAGATGTTTTATATACACTGTTATATTTGCCCCATTTTATGATTTCTGTAAGGCAGTCATACAAATTAAGCAGGCTTGGTTGGTTTGAAAAAACAAAACATTCAAATGGTAACTAATAACTCTCCAACAACATTTTACAGCCGTATTACTGTATGATGCAAGCTCTTACCAATGAGAGTGGAGCGTCCATCACCCAGAGGGCAGCGCTGGTACCGGGGAACAGGAAAAGGAGGCAACTGGGTGAGAACTGAGTGCAATAATGGCTCCAGGCGTGAGGCAGAGGGGTCCGATGGGTAAAACAGATTAAAAATCTGCGAACAAGCTGGCCTGAGCTGAGCCACTAATAGAGAGGGAGGACAGAACAGAGTAATCATCTATCAGGAAATTACTCTAATAAAAACACTATAAATCATATGGTCAACTTGAATATTAATTTTAAAATTAACAATTTATCTGTGTATGTGTGTGAGAAAGAAGCCGATTTGTACCATCCACGCCAGGGACCACCGTTCTCCTCATCGCCAGCACTAGTCCCAGTGGGCATCCCAGCAGAAAGCAGTCTGATACTTCAAACTCAAAGCAGCCTGGACTGAGAGCCTGCCTGGAGCCACACTGATCGTCCTGAGACAGACTGTGAGACAGCATGCATGGAAAGCCAGTTATCTTCATTAATTATTAACTCCTAATTAATGATTCATCACAATTAATGCTTTTTATATCATGCTGATGTCATCCAAGAGGTCCTTTGTGCCCCCATGACAAATCTGTTAAGACTTGAGAACCAAGCAGGGTCTTCATCCTCGATACGCTCCATTTAAATCATCTAATTCAGGGCTATTTCTGTAAAATACAGAATTACTTTGTATACCTAAAAGTCAGCTGAATAAATTAAATTAAATTCACTTTTACACTAAAGTACTTTGATTGAAGGTGGCATACAATGAAAATCTGCATATACCAGGCATAACTGAATAATAAGTGTTTAGTAGAAGGTAATAGCATACATTGTTACTACACTGTTTACACTGTTACTATCCACACAAGATCACAATTAAAAGTTTCCTTGTGAGATTACAACAATAAAGTTCTCCCTTATTTTTTAAGTTTATCTACGCTTGTTTACTCGGTATGTGAGACTCTTATTTTGAAAACTGGTTAGACTGTGGGGAGGTGTAAGCAAGTTTAAGAAACAGGCATGCATGTCCACAGAGCATCTGAGTTGGTCAAAATGCAAAATGTGCGACATTCGAACATAAAGTGCTGTAGCGAAATTAGCTCAGTTTATGAATATTAATAATCAATAATAACGAGTTATTATTAATTATTAATATTCCGGCTTAACCTTCTATCAGTTTGGTTAAACAAATATATAAATATGATTCCATTAAATTATGAATATTAGTTATCAACATTAACAAATTATTATTAATCATTAATATTCTGAATTAACTTATTGTTAATTTGACCAAATATATATAACCAGACCTCGCCCACTCGTTCGAGCGGACACTGTAATGATCTATTTATTTAGAAAGGGAATTATTACTACTCATTGTGAAGTAGATTAATCATTCATAAGTTTTGATTAACTTAATAGCAAAGAAATCAATCGAAAACACACAAAGCAGGAATGTCTTTAGAAGTTTGGAAAGAGGGACTCAGGCCAGTCTGCTAAGTGTCCCGGAGTAATTAAATTGTCACTCAAGGATGCTTAGAGCAGACTTTCTGTGATTCAATGCAAACGCGTGAATAGACATCCTGCGGCGCGATACGCGCGAATGGCGCGGCGCGAATGACGCAAATTGCATGAATGACGCTGTTTTTCAGCCTTCATAAAGTACATAAACACTGTTATTTTCTTCATAAAATCCATGTTAGCCTTTTAGCAATGAAGCTACAGTCACCGGGCAGACAGAAGCCCTGCCCATCACGCGAATCCGCGTCTGTTTTGAAGTTAATTTGACACGTGAATGAAGCGGATTTGACGCGCAAATGAAGCGGGGTTTGACGCGCGAATGAAGCGAGTAACCTCAAATGTTCACGTGGCAATTTACGCGCGAATATCGCGATTTATCCGCGCGTTCCGCGTCTGGTGTGAACACAGCATTAGACCCAGACCCTTTTTTTAAAATCAATAAGTAGTTTTTTCCGCGGACTGTACGTTAAAGTGCCCTATCATACACCCGGCGCAATAAGCCACAAGACATGTTGTGCGCGATTTATTGCTGTTTTTAGACCAGCGCAACTCTAATTTTCACATTTTGTGCCATGTTGTTTAAATAGTTAATTCATTTGCGCCACTTTGTGGACCGGTCTAGAAAGGAGGTGTGTTAAAGTGCATTGTTGGTGCGTTGCTATTTTGAGGAACTGAAATAGACCGCACTATTGACCAACTGAAAGCTGATCTGAAGTCCAGCACAGAGCGCATTAGTTGTGCACCTGCATGGGTTCAAGCTTACGCAGTGCTTAATACACACAGAATCTATAGCAATACACAAAACACTTTACATATATAAAAAGAATTAAAATTCCCAATAGTATCTGGATGCAGCCTTAATGATGCAAGCTGAGATTGCATCACTCAGCGATGCAATGTCAGACACAATGCACTCAAATGGAGCGAGTGACGTCACTGTGACGGGTAGGGTTAGGTGAGCCTATTAAAAAGCATTGGATGCAGCTCAGATTGCACTGCACCAGGTCTGCATTCAGACCCCTTTCAAAATATTACAAACATTTTTAATTTCTACATAAATATAACAACCACATGCCTTCTTCACCTCAGGGAACTTTCTCAGTTTATTCATGATGATTTGCATTTGTATTATGCTATTATTATTAGTAGTAGTAATAGTATTATTTATTATATGTATATTTATATTTGTTTTAATAAAAATGTTGATGGGCGTTTTTAAATTTGTCCACCCGGCAGGTTTCGGAGACGTCTCCATCACCATATGGAGCATAAGAATAGGACGTGTGTTTGCATATAACTACCACTTTGTTATTTTTGTTAATTTATTCATTTGCTGGAATTTAGAACTGAGTTTAAAAATAGTTTTGAAACAAATCTTTGCGCTTAACAAACTAAATTATATATGAAGGCTAATAGATGTCTTCAACGGAGTGAGTTTCTACCTTTTTCTTATCCACGAAAGTAAAGGAGTAAAGTAAAGAGTAAAAGTAAAGAAAAAGTAAAGAGGCTGAAAACTGGAGGCTCGTTCTTTATCCTCACGTTGCAGATGCTCTGTTTAACTGTTCTCTTGCTAGTAAAGCGTCCAGTTTTTCCACTTACAAAGTCCACCATGTAAATAGCTAATGCGCCATGGCGTGACGCAACTGACTCTTAAAGGAAATAGGAGACGAGTCTCTGATTGGTTTAATTCACGGTATGGTCAAAACACAATCATAACTCATTAAGAGAATAAACACAACCCGGTTAGACCATGTGCCAGGGTGCAGACAGTATTTTTCTGTCATTAAAATAGCAAAAGTAGATTCGGAAAGTGGATTTCCGTCCTTAAAATAGCAAAAGGGCGAGGCAGTGGCGCAGTAGGTAGTGCTGTCGCCTCACAGCTAAAAGTTCGCTGGGTCGCTGGTTCGAACCTCGGCTCAGTTGGTGTTTCTTTGTGGAGTTTGCATGTTCTCCCTGCCTTTGCATGGGTTTCCTCCGGGTGCTCCGGTTCCCCCTACAGTAAAAAAGACATGCTGTACAGGTGTATTGGGTAGGCTAAATTGTCCGTAGTGTATGAGTGTGTGTGTGGATGTTTCCCGGAGATGGGTTGCGGCTGGAAGGGCGTCCGCTGTGTAAAAACTTGCTGGATAAGTTGGCGGTTCATTCCGCTGTGGCGACCCCGGATTAATAAAGGGATTAAGCCGACAAGAAATAAATAAAATAAAATAGAGCCCATGATCTGTTTTAATGCATCTTTTGTTAATTTGACATGTATATTGTAAATTTGTGATGCATATGTTTGTAATAGGGCAACTTTTTGGGGGGGAGGGGCAACTGTGTATGATTATTATGAATGTGTGTATTTCGAGCAACATCATACTGTGTTTGAGAGAGAGAAAGCTTCAGGCACTGACATAAGTAGACCTGAATTATTATTTATAACCCTTCCAAATAAGGTAAAAATGTAACTTTCCCATAAAGGAGTAAACTCTCAGGTTGTAAATGTTCTTATAAAACTATTTCTGTGGTATTTTTGCACTTACTTCAGCCACATACTTTCTATGTAGATACAATTTAACATATTGTTTCAGTGCATTCTATGGCAACTTTAACGATTTCTATTTCAGCAAGACTTATCTGTAAACTGAGCAAACAACATTTCCCAAGCCTGCTTTGATTCCTACTTATTTACATCATGCTGTAGAACATTTTATGATCTGAAGCAAACATCAAATGTCACTGACTGTTTGCTGATGTTTATTTCTGGTTCTTTCCTTTTGAACTTTGTAACTTTAAAATAAATGAATATGGCTGTTTACTTGAAGGACGTGTTTTTATAAAAATGTGCATGATACATTTGACACAAGGCTTTTTAAATATTTATCCTACCACATTAATATGATTTTACTTTTTCATCATGACTGTGCTGATTTCCCACTGCAATAAATTACATAATGTTCTGCAGAATGATTCAAATCAAATGGCACATTTTTTAGACACTGTTTCTAGTTCATTATAAAAAAAGGAGTGGGTGGATTTTTAAGGATAAATCATTCCTTTTTTTATAATCCTCAGGAAGTTACATAGTGTCTAAAGATGTAAGTGCATTTTACATAAGTGACTTTTGAAAGAATATTACAAATATAGCAAGAAGTAAAGTGATACAGAAACACAGGGAAGCTGTAAGCTAATTGCCAATTACATGTAATCACAAAAAATTGCATTATATGAAGTTTATTCATAAACTAATTTCGAGAGGAGCACATGATTATGATTGAACACAGCTGGTTCTGCATTAGCATGCATGATCCACCAATCAGGCCATTCCTAACCCACTATAAAGAGCCAGTGTTTTTTCACTACAATCATCTTCGATTTGAAGAATGCCCCCTTCCACCCCTACCTTTTCACCTTTCCCTCCATAGGGCAGCACGGTGGCCCAGTGATTAGCACTGTCGCCTCACAGCAAGAACGTCACCGGTTCTAGTCCTTTAACAGGCTGGTGGTCGTTTCTGTGTGTAGTTTGCATGTTCTTCCCGTGCTTGCGTGGGTTTTCCCCGGGTCCTCTGGTTTCCTCCCACATTCCAAAAACATGCACAACAAGTAAATTGATAAATCTAAATTTGCAATACAGGTAATTGCATAATGCAGCATATCTCTTAATAGCATTCAATTTTAGTCATCAGCTCTTATCAAGGGGGAGTTGTCGAGATCTACCTGAGCTCAAGGCTCCCCTCTCTTCCTCCAAACGGGAGGGAGCCCAGGGCTCAAGAACCTTCGAGCTCAGGGCTCTCTCCCGGGACAGCATGCCAAACTTGCTTATGATCAATCATCAGCTAAGTGTGAACTCTTGAAATAATTATAATTACATTATATATAATAATTAACAAATTTCCTGTTAGAAGTCAGTAATTCACCTGCTGTGAACTCATGTTCTCCAGCTAAAGTAGTGAAATGATTTATAGATCATCTACTGTGTGTTTAATTAAAGACACAAGATGGGCATAGTCTGCTTATCTTCCTAAGGCAGGGATTCTCAAACTTTTCAGTCCACAACCCCCAAACTAACAATGCCAGTGACTCGTGGTCCACAATATTCTTTGAGGCGGTTATAAACATATGAACCTTGAACACAACAGCGCACACATACCAATAGGCCCAAGTCTATTCATCGTTTAATTTTGGAGAACATCATTTGGAGATCATTTTCCATGTTCAGTTGAGGCCCGGGTTTATTTTTAATGTATGTGAATGTCATAAACTTGTCAGAAAGCTTAACCTGGTGCCATAAAATCAATGTGCTGCATCTGACACTATTGTTGTAACGCCGGGGAGTGACACTGACAACAGAAGGTAGGATCCGAATGCAGGTTTATTCAAAGTCAGGCAAGTGATGGTCAATTCAGGTGCAAACAGATATGTAGACAATCCAGAATCATAGTCGAATAACAGGCAAAAGGTCAAAAGGTAGGGATGGCTGGCGTGAAACTGACGTTTCGACACAGTGTCGAGATCCCGAAGCGCAAGTGTTTCGAAACACTGTACCGAAGCATGATCCGAAACACCCAGGTCACGTGACTAAAGTGTTTCGAAACACTTGGTCACGTGACAAAAGCGATTCAAAGCATCGATCATTTCAGAGGCGTTTCAAGACCCGGAGAATCTGCATTTCACTAGCATGATCTCTAGTAAGACTTTGATTTGTATGGCCTAGTGGACCGCGCGTGTGCACTATGGAACAGTATGTCGAATTTATTTTGGGTTCGAATCTCGACTATTACAAATACTCCAAAATCATGATTTTATGCATTTTAATCATGTTACTGTTTTATGGTGTAGCCTAGATAGGATACAGCTGCGGATACACCATCAATTTAGCATCATTTTTGTAACACTGTAAAACAATAATTCATATTTTTACAGTACTGTGATGGGTTTAGGTTTTGGATATACGTTAATAAAATACAATGGGAAATTTAATTAATAATATAAATAATTATTGTTAACTTCTGGCCACAACTGTATCTGATCTAGCAACAACCCTGTTATATGAACAAAACACAAATTTATTTACAAATGTTTATTCGTATGTCAGAGCAATGTTGAAACAAAACGATACAATAACAAAGCATTATCAGCTGGTATTAAAGCATTTCAACACACTTGTGACAGTCTGGATTCGAACCCATTTTCCCCGCATGGTAGTCACGTACTCTAACCGCTCGACTAAACCATCTGATGATTCAAGGCTACAAAGTGGGGTTTGATACATCAATTTGCTCAACTGTTCTTTGCTGAAGCTGTTTCAGTGAAATACAGATAAAATGACCACTAGGTGTCACCGTAGAGTGGTGTTTCGAAACGTTTCGAAGCTTCGACACATTTGCTTCGATAGTTTCAGTGTTTCACGAAGCCTCGCTTTGCCCACCACTATCAAAAGGCAAGCAGCAGACAAGGACAAAAGGATAAGCTAGGCTAATAATCAAAAACCTGCAATGGCAGACAAAGGAAACCGCGTTGTAATGTCACTGATACAGCAAACAAGATGTGTGTGGAACAGAGGGGTTTAAATAGTCCAAATAATCATTGTGTGAGTGGCTTCAGCTGTGAGAGTGCAATCAGTGTAGATCTGGAACCGGTTGTGTGTGTGTGGCGTGACTGAGTGTGTTGTAGTCCATAACATGGCAGATATGTAGTTCAATGAGTGTGAATGTTTGTGCGTGAATGTTTACCAGCGATATCTGGAGGTTGTTCGCTGGTGAACATGACAATTGTTGTTTCTTTAATACATTTTAATCACTCCAGGGGTTGCAAAAAAAATCGAAAGACTGATGGCTTTTTATTTGCATGTTGTTTATGAATGTTTATTATTAACATGTAAACATTGTGACTTTTAACTACTATTTTGTTCTTCCGTAGATTTGGATAAAATATGGTAATTCTAATAGTTTAATAAAATGAAGTCGCCAAGCGACCCCCACCCCCCCTTTTCATTTTCCCACAACCCCCAAGGACTTTGGAAAACACTGTCCTATTAGAACGAGTGATAAATATTCTATAAAATTGACAAGATAAGTCTGTAAAGCAGTGAACCCACCTGCTGATGAAAACCTCTCGCTGACCGCTGGCCACGTCTGCATCACACGAGTCGCTCTGCTTACGGATGAGCGGATGGCGGATTCCAGACAGCACATCGCACGGGGTTGACACATCAATGTTGCTCTTGCTCAGGCGTTTGCTGCCTCGGAGTGTGGGGCTCAGAGAGTTCACCACACCTGGCTTCTCCTGCAACCAAACACAGAAATGTATGTTTATCCTCTTTAACAATGAAATCTTGCTTCCTTGATACTTTCACACAATTTGACTTGCTTAATTTATAAATGAAATACAGTGCACATCACATACATTTTTATTAATAACCTAACCGTCCCAAGACAGACCAACAACCCAGGTTAATCGGAAATGTGTGCTCAGGGTTACATTTTTGCAAACTATGAACACTTGCAGTTCATACTGCCAAATCCGAGAGGGGTCTGGCTGCAGACCTGGTGCAGATGCAATCTGGGCTGCATCCAATGCTTTTTAATGCGCTCACCTAACCCCACCCCAAACCCTACCCATCACATTGATGTCACTAGCTCCATTTAAGTGTGTCTGACATTGCATCGCTGAGTCTCAGCTTGCATCACAAAGGCTGCATCCAGAAACTATTGCCAAATCCACCCTGGCCGCTGTGTACATTTATTTGAATCTCAAATACATTACTGAGCTACTTTTTCTTTTTCTTTCGTGCCATTTACACACCTCCACCTTGTACACGTCTGTGAGATGCCAGCTTGAAGAACATATTATATCACATCACAATTGAATAACCCACACCGCCCCTTCTTTAAACCCAATGATAACATTTTAAAAAGCAAACAAGAAAAGAGCAGAGTAGGGACTTATTTTAACCATGATTTTGTATAGCCTTTTTGTTTTTAACTGGTTACTGGAACCATTTTTCATCAGACTGAAAGCCAGTCCGCTCTGCACACCAAGTATGATTCCATACGAGGCAAACTAATGAGCAAACTGACCATTCCAGAAAAGTTGTCCAAACTAAAATTTTTGGGAGATGCAAACGCACTTGATTACAGATCACAGATGATTGTGTGGCATTTTTTCACTGTTGAACAAACAACCACATTAAAACAATAATTTATCTGTTAATAACCCGTACCTGAACATGTTAACTGTAGTGTGAATCGTAGTGTAACTGTAGTGTGTACCCAGTGCTGGGCAAGCTACTTGAGAAAATGTAATGAGCTAAGCTATTAGCTACTCTACTTAAAATGTAGCTTAACTACACTAAAAGCTACCCCCTGGAAAATGTACTGTAGCAGGCTAAGCTAAACGCTACATGGCAAAAGTAGCTTAGCTACATCTAAACTATTTTTACAATTTTCATTTTTTAAATCAAAGCAACTTAAATCCAAGTCAATCATATATTAGTGATCAATAAAACTGTCAGTGAAACAAATGAGGCATAATAGTTCAGTTCAGTTATTGACTGTAAATCAATTTATAAGTTCACTATTGTTGATCCGGGACAACCAAGTAATTAAATAATTAAGTAATCAAGTAATTAAATTCACTAATGTTGATCCTGGACCTGCAAATATATAAATTCACTAATGTTGATCCTGGACCATCAACATATAAATAAACTAATGTTGATCCTGGACCATCAAGTTATTAAATTCACTAATGTTGATCCTGGACCATCAATGTATAAACTTACTAATGCTGATCCTGGACCATCAATATATAAATTCACTAATGTTGATCCTGGACCATCAATGTATAAATTCACTAATGTTGATCCTGGACCATCAATGTATAAATTCACTAATGTTGATCCTGGACCATCAACATATAAATTCACTAATGTTGATCCTGGACCATCAACATATAAATTCACTAATGTTGATCCTGGACCATCAAGTTATTAAATTCACTAATGTTGATCCTGGACCATCAACAAATAAATTCACTAATGTTGATCCTGGACCATCAATATATAAATTCACTAATGTTGATCCTGGACCATCAAGTTATTAAATTCACTACTGTTGATCCTGGACCATCAACATATAAATTCACTAATGTTGATCCTGGACCATCAATGTATAAATTCACTAATGTTGATCCTGGACCATCAATGTATAAATTCACTAATGTTGATCCTGGACCATCAACATATAAATTCACTAATGTTGATCCTGGACCATCAACATATAAATTCACTAATGTTGATCCTGGACCATCAATGTATAAATTCACTAATGTTGATCCTGGACCATCAACATATAAATTCACTAATGTTGATCCTGGACCATCAATGTATAAATTCACTAATGTTGATCCTGGACCATCAAGTTATTAAATTCACTAATGTTGATCCTGGACCATCAACATATAAATTCACTAATGTTGATCCTGGACCATCAACATATAAATTCACTAATGTTGATCCTGGACCATCAACATATAAATTCACTAATGTTGATCCTGGACCATCAACATATAAATTCACTAATGTTGATCCTGGACCATCAATATATAAATTCACTAATGTTGATCCTGGACCATCAACATATAAATTCACTAATGTTGATCCTGGACCATCAATATATAAATTCACTAATGTTGATCCTGGACCATCAACATATAAATTCACTAATGTTGATCCTGGACCATCAAGTTATTAAATTCACTAATGTTGATCCTGGACCATCAAGTTATTAAATTCACTAATGTTGATCCTGGACCATCAATGTATAAATTCACTAATGTTGATCCTGGACCATCAATGTATAAATTCACTAATGTTGATCCTGGACCATCAAGTTATTAAATTCACTAATGTTGATCCTGGACCATCAACATATAAATTCACTAATGTTGATCCTGGACCATCAAGTAATTAAATTCACTAATGTTGATCCTGGACCATCAACGTATAAATTCACTAATGTTGATCCTGGACCATCAACATATAAATTCACTAATGTTGATCCTGGACCATCAATATATACATTCACTAATGTTGATCCTGGACCATCAACATATAAATTCACTAATGTTGATCCTGGACCATCAATATATAAATTCACTAATGTTGATCCTGGACCATCAAGTTATTAAATTCACTAATGTTGATCCTGGACCATCAACATATAAATTCACTAATGTTGATCCTGGACCATCAATATATAAATTCACTAATGTTGATCCAGGACCATCAATATTTAAATTCACTAATGTTGATTCTGGACCATCAACATATAAATTCACTAATGTTGATCCTGGACCATCAATATATACATTCACTAATGTTGATCCTGGACCATCAAGTTATTAAATTCACTAATGTTGATCCTGGACCATCAACATATAAATTCACTAATGTTGATCCTGGACCATCAACATATAAATTAACTAATGTTGATCCTGGACCATCAATATATACATTCACTAATGTTGATCCTGGACCATCAAGTAATTAAATTCACTAATGTTGATCCTGGACCATCAATGTATAAATTCACTAATGTTGATCCTGGACCATCAATATATACATTCACTATTGTTGATCCTGGACCATCAACATATAAATTAACTAATGTTGATCCTGGACCATCAATATATACATTCACTAATGTTGATCCTGGACCATCAACATATAAATTCACTAATGTTGATCCTGGACCATCAATATATAAATTCACTAATGTTGATCCTGGACCATCAAGTTATTAAATTCACTAATGTTGATCCTGGACCATCAACATATAAATTCACTAATGTTGATCCTGGACCATCAACATATAAATTCACTAATGTTGATCCTGGACCATCAATGTATAAATTCACTAATGTTGATCCAGGACCATCAATATTTAAATTCACTAATGTTGATCCTGGACCATCAATATATAAATTCACCAATGTTGATCCTGGACCATCAAGTTATTAAATTCACTAATGTTGATCCTGGACCATCAACATATAAATTCACTAATGTTGATCCTGGACCATCAATATATAAATTCACTAATGTTGATCCAGGACCATGAATATTTAAATTCACTAATGTTGATCCTGGACCATCAACATATAAATTCACTAATGTTGATCCTGGACCATCAAGTTATAAATTCACTAATGTTGATCCTGGACCATCAATGTATAAATTCACTAATGTTGATCCTGGACCATCAAGTTATTAAATTCACTAATGTTGATCCTGGACCATCAATATATAAATTCACTAATGTTGATCCTGGACCATCAATATAAAAATTCACTAATGTTGATCCTGGACCATCAACGTATAAATTCACTAATGTTGATCCTGGACCATCAATTTATAAATTCACCAATGTTGATCCTGGACCATCAAGTTATTAAATTCACTAATGTTGATCCTGGACCATCAACATATAAATTCACTAATGTTGATCCTGGACCATCAACATATAAATTCACTAATGTTGATCCTGGACCATCAATAAATAAATTCACTAATGTTGATCCTGGACCATCAATAAATAAATTCACTAATGTTGATCCTGGACCATCAAGTTATTAAATTCACTAATGTTGATCCTGGACCATCAACATATAAATTCACTAATGTTGATCCAGGACCATCAACATATAAATTCACTAATGTTGATCCTCGACCATCAATATATAAAT